CCCCCCCCCCGACACCAGCAGGCACGGGTCATCTCTGACCACTGAGAAATGATAACATTAGGCCACAAAAACAAGACACATAGCTCTAAAATACACAACTCAATGTAGGGAACCTACTAAGATCATCAGGAACAAACTCACAAGCATGGATATTTTCAGAGTTTGACCTATTCTTTGCTAAGTCATGTCCTGCTCGCAAAGAGCAGTTCTTCAGGTTTCCTGCAGTGTACACAGAGAAATCTCCCTGCCACCCCTAGAAACCAAACCCACAGCTGTGAAATTGGATAAAAACTAGTCGCCTTTGCTCTCTAACCATATCTAGTGGTACACAGCTCTCCATGTGTGCATGCCTGAGCCTCCTGGAACCCAAAATAATGACATTGAAAATTACAGAGTCCTCTGATTAATATATGACTAATATCAAAGTTACAATCCAATGAACTCACCAAAATGTCTCAGCAAATTGGATAATCATTCATCCCTTGTAATTGCATTTCCCGAAGCCAAATGTACATGGATACTGTTTAATGGCCTTGAAAGGCCAATATTATTATTGTTTGATACTCTTCCAATAGAACCACAGCTGACACTTCCTTTTAAACATAACTGTGTAACAACTTTTTAATTTGGAAGAAACCAAAGAACTGTAAAGTTGGGTTGGAGTTGACAACTGTGGCATGCAGGCCACATATTGTGGGTTGCATCTGTGCATATGAGCAGAGCAGAGTTTTTGCAAACACTAAGCAATATGTTTGCAAACCAACCCCACTCTTATTTGCCTTAACCTCAAGAAGGAAATCTTAAGACTTCTGTGCCATCCACCACAGCTCGTCTGACCTACCACGTTATTCCACAAAGGCATGAATGCAGTGCTGTACCTGGGCTTTCCATTGCCCATTAGGCAGTTATGTCTGTCATACACACAAACATTTAACCATTGAGTTATGGCTAGAAGGGACTAAATCCATGAAATCTTTCCAAAATTTTCTGCTCTTGCATTCCTCTTTAGTTACTACAGCCAAGCACTGGTACAGAATTCCAAGAGTTATAGCAAATTCTTCTTTCAGTCAAGTTAGGATGGTCTCCAAAATCTCTCTATAGGTATTGGGAGAGTTCTCTTTCTCCACCTGTACATTTAAAGCCACATTTCAGAGCTCAGGTTCTCCAGCTCAGTGAGATCTTTATCTGTTACTGACCCTGCAAAATCTTTACCTGTCCAATTTCAAATATCTGACTTTGCTGATGTTTCACAGAGCAACCATACCTTAACAATCCCATACCTCACTTCAAGCATGACGGGATTGTAAGAGAACCTGTGGTATCAAGGTTTGTCACTACAGAGGCCATTACGGTCAAAGGAGACTAGGAAGTAGCTGTCACTCCAAGCAAGCCCTGGATGCAATTGGCCAAGCTGTCATCAGACCACGCTTACATTGTGGTGTTGAAAAATGCACATGCTCAACATCTTCTCTCTAGAGGTTGGAGAGGTGATTTTGCTGGGGGGAGGGCATTTATTAAATCTGTGTTATATTATGGTGCTGCCTGGGTTACATCATCCATGGAAAAATTAAGGCGTCTATGAGATGTATTTTTAAAAAGTGTTTGTCAAGGAGACCCAGAGATGATGCCAGGCACTCTTCTTATGTACTATAAATGTGAATAAATGCCGTATTAATTGGCTGCGCAATCAATTAGATGCTTAACTGGTCCTCTGTATGTGCAGCTACTATGACTTTATGTGGCTAGATGTGGAAATTGTGCGTTATAGAACTTAAGACTCCCAACGGCTGTGACAGAAATATTTCCTTCAGCACTATGAACTCTGTTGCTGCAGCAGTATGTCTTACTTAGAAGGGACCAGCAGCTGCGGGATGAAAAAGGTTTTACATTATCATCACGAAGTCAGATAAAACCCCAACCAGCTGTGACACGACCATTGTTTTCATCACAGGACAACAGTGTCATTGGGTGCCTTCAAACAACGTCAGAGAAGATAGCTGCCGTTTCCCCCACTCGAGCTGCTTGGACAGGAGACGCAGGTTCTTACGTTCCTTTGCTCAAGTTAGATTTTCCTCGCAGGTTTATAAAATGTTGTGAAGTGAAGCAGTGACCTCGTGTCCCCCTTGCTGAAGGTGCTGAAGCCAGATGTGCCTTGTTAACTCTACAGTATCATCTAATGGTGAGAGAAGGAGACTGGGAGTCAAGACTCCTGGGGTTATTTTTCTAGCTTTACCACTGACATGCTGGCCTTATGCGGACCAAACCCTCTTTCAGTCATTTTGCCCACCGAGATGACACCCACCTTATGGGTGGGCTGCGTGGCTTTCATCAGTGTTTGTAAAGTGCTGTGAGATCCTTGGAAGAAAAGTGCTACCAATGAAAAGAATGAGGAGGCTGGTGTATTCTTGAGTGAAGGACACACTTCTTGTAACACTGGAGTTCATAGTGTTGGATGCCTTCACTTGGGTTTAATGTCTGCTCTAAATGAGCTTTACATTTTGTTATGGCTGATACGATGCGCAGGTCGCATCCTAACTTGATTAAAAAACTTGTTGGCAACTTTCACTGGCCACTAATTTCTCTCACTTGTGAGCTTAGTATTACTGGCTTCCAGGTGCTATGATCAAATAACAAAATCTGAGCAGAGCTGGAGAACTCAGAACCTAACTGACTTAGATTTTTGGCACCCAGACACAGACCAGAAAGCCTCGCCCATTCTCCTGGCAAACATGCACTCTCCAAAGGAGACACTTCCTCCCACAGATCGTGCCCTGAAGTCACTCTGGAAAGGAAGGGTTGCCTTACTTGTTTCAGCAGCACGTTTAGTTACACGAGGGAGAGGGAAACAGACTCATTTAGAGGCAACCAAGAGGAAATGATAGACACCCAGCTTATACCACTCCGGCTGCTGATGCAGAGGGCTGAGTCACAGTCTAATTTCAAGCCCAGCGGGCTCAACCTGCCCCCATTAAGCAGAGTGACTGATGGTGAGGGATGACTGGTAGATGCCACCAGCTGTAAAACTGATCACAGGGGTGTCTTTCCCTTGAAATGTCTCTCACGTGGTAACTGGAAACAAACATTAGTTGGGTGACACCTTGACTTGTTGCCAAGGAGAACTTAGCCTCTTCCTGCACCAGTTGAAAGATGCAGTAAATTCTCTTTCTAAACACAGCCTGGTGCTAGTATATGGCGCTGACCTGAAACAGAGTGCTCTGGAGGGGATAGGAATCAAATCCTCTCCCCTTCGCTTGCATTCTCACAGATCATTCTACAGCAGGCACACAGCACTGTCGGCCAGATGTTGCGTCTCTCACTCGGTAGCTATTGGGAACTGGCTAGTTGCTTTCCAAGAGAATAGCAGCTATACCGGGAATTGACTCAACTCACCTGAATTGCATAACGTCCCACCCCATTAACCAGAGAAAAACCCAAAGTCGGTGAACGGGTGAGACCAGCCAATGAGAGAGAGTTATGATGGTATCACAACACGAGCAGGGCCGGCTCCAGGCACCAGCCTACCAAGCATGTGCTTGGGGCGGCACCTGGAGGGGGGCGGTGCTCAGGGTTGGGTTTTTTTTTGTTTTGTTTTCTTAAAGCATACTGGGGCTGTTGGGGCGCCCTCCTCCCGGCGCTCCAGCCGGTCGGGGAGAGCGGGGCCCTGGCCGGGCTCAGCGCCTTCCCCTGCCGCGCTCCCCACCGGGGGGGGGGGGGGAGGAGAGGTTGGGGGGGGAGCGGCGGGAGGCTTTTTTGCCTGGGACGGCAAAAAAAGCCAGAGCCGGCCCTGAACACGAGGCAGACTGCATGCCCCTGGGGGGACAGCAGGATAAGAAAAAACAAAGACCAGGGAAAGAAAAGTTACATTCCTGGGCCGTGTGTCCATACTCACACTCAAAGGGCTTTCCTTCCCTGCTCCAGAATTGCTCCCCCTGCTGCAACTGCTCAGCCAACCTCCCGTTCCACAAACATCGCCGACCAGGCAAACGCACGCTCTCGCACATACAAACCAGGGAGCACAATTTGTTTGCACAGGTGGCCATCCAACTTTTGTGCAGCATAGTGACTGTACGCACATGGGTGAGCATGTAGAAATGAAGGCCAGCCACGAATAACGATTTGGCCTTGTAAGCATAAGAAAATGGCTGTGGTATCTGGAGTAGCAGTTAGAACAGTACCTGCCAAGGAGGAGAGAATAAAGTTCCTGGCCTGAATGGAGGTTAGTACAATTTTCTTTTGGTCTCCCTACATATCTCCTCTCTCCCTCCCCGCAAATACCGACCCATTCTATTACACCAGGAGGGCAACATCATGTGATGAAAGTGTTTTACGGTGGCTAAGAGGCTAGGAAAGGTGGCCTGCCATGCTGAAGGTAGCACACATTGCAGAAGGTAATTTTCAACATCAAAATAATCCATACTGCAAAGCAGGGCGGATAGTTCTCTGCAATCTGAATGGATGAAGGAGGTGACTGGCGGAGTGAGAATCCTGCTGGGTGGGCAGCTAAGAAGAAAAGCTGCCTGCATGACACGTTAGATCCAGGCAAGACCGTGCAGCAAGTCTCTGCTCTCGCTTGGGGCTTGGCAAGAGGATCAGAGAAGCAGCGCTGATTCCAAACCCTCCTGGGAGAGAAGACTTTGTCAATGCCTGATTTATAAAAGCAGTTTGGGATTTCACAACACGGTCCAACTCCACCACATTAATGGGAAATAAAACCACCGTCGCTTTTACAAATTGGATTTTAAATCCAAACAAAGGCTCAGAAGGCTTTAGCATCCCTACCAACTGGTGCCACAGCAGGACAATCTTTTCAGGGAGACTTCGGAGAACAGAAGATACTTCTTTTCTCTTTTCTTTTCGCCACCACCACCAGTCTCACAAAGTTTGATCCTAAGTATATAAACTAGATCTGCTGTGATTAGTACAACACAGGCTGCCCCACGACATGGATACCACAAGGCAAAGATGCAGATATTTTTCTGCTAGGGACTCTTAAATGCCACTCGGCCTTCTCTGTGGTGTGATCAATGTTATTTGCGTGGTGTGGTGTGGTTTGTGGCAGCTGAAGCCTTGCCAGGCAGATAAAACATTAATCAAGCCTGCAGAGATTTGTTGTGCTAGGGAAATATCCACAGTAGGTACCGGGAGCTATTTGTTACTTCCATCACAGCATTAGATAGGACAGATCATCAGTGTAAATCACAGGCAGTTTAAGGAATTGTCCATAGGGGTGGGTGCGTGCGGTTAGTTTTGAAGCTAATGTACCTTGTTCAGTGGGAATTAAAAGCGAGGCTGTAGCCGGAGAATGCTATGTAAAAATGGCTTCTTATTCAAACCAGCGGTGGTCTTGTTTGAGTCCCTACTGGTGACTTCACTGGCAATATTTAAAGACAATATTTGGTCCTGTTATCCCATAGGAGCCAACTTAACTCTAGAAGTACAATCTGGATTATATTCTGCTCCATGAATAATCATTGCTAATTACTCTGCTTCACTCAACATTGTCAGCTAAATTTGAATTGCAAGGGTCTTTTTACTGGTAACAAAGTAAGAGGGAGGAGGAACAGACTGATTTTTAGAGCTTGAGAGTTATGTTGGGGGAAAAAAGACATCTGTGCGGCCCTTTGGCTGGAATACAGAACTTGGCTTCACAGCACCTGGATTTTAGCCCCAACTCCGGCACTGGCTTGCTGCACCACCTTTGGCAAGTCACTTAACTATGCTGTCCCTCAGTTTCCCTATGTGTAAAATAGAGAGATAATGAAGTTTAGCCACCTTTCTGAAGAGCTTTGAGACACTGATCTGGAGAGCAGGACAATATTCTTTTCTGACCCGTGAAGCAAACCAACCTACTCCTGAGTCTCAGTGATATACACCTGGAATCAATAGCGTCATTTTTAGAGTCATTTCTGTTTCCAACTGCACTTAAAAAAAAAATGATGTCACAAAGCACGTGGCAAGCAGACAGAACGATAAACTGCCACAGAAATAGGCGCTTCAGATAATGCTCACAGAAAAATGGGTATTACCTTCCATTGAAACACAGATATCAGACAGCAGTACAACTCCTCCAGGAGGTGATGGAGCCATCTCAGAGAAGGAGCACGGTGCTTTTCTGGGTGCACCCGTGCAATGCCAGAAGACCCTGTGGAATTCGCAGCCTCTGGTGCTTCACTAGAGCCCACCACATAGTTTGATTTAGGGCAGAGTGCAAAGTGCATTTCTTTATACAGGTCTTTGATTAATCAAACCACAGGCCTGCTGGGCCAATTACAGTTAATTTTAAATGAACTGTGACCATTTCGTGGTACATTGGCTTTAATTGTTGTGAAAACCCAAATGCTGCTGCAGTGGCCAGCGCATACAAATAAATATGCACGCTCTCCTAGATGGGAAGGAGATTAAAATTAAGCTCCATGCTGGAATATGAGGAAATGCAGTGTCTGAAATAAACCCCAGCAAGTAGGCCCTCCAATACAGTACAGATTCCCTTCTCTGTACTGAATGCACAAGCACTAAGCCGCACCCAGTGAGGAACTGGTGATAATGCAAAGATAATAAATAAAAAGAAGAGTAATGGGTGAAAGACATCTTTGAAAAAGGAAACCATCAGCAACATCATGCAGTGATCAAGGGCAAGGGCTCTAACCTCTCTGCTGGGCTGTCGGGCTCAATAAATCGGACGAGGGGCGGGGAAGACAGGGTTTCAGTAGCAAAGATCCCCCCCTGGAGCTGAAGGCCAAAGCCATTCAAGGGGTCTCCCCTTAGGATCACCTCTGTTGTTTCTGTGTGAACAATCTGCCCACCGGGACCCACTGTACTAGAAGCCAGCGACACTGAAACGAGAAAAAGCATTAGAGGCTCCGGTTAACAGCCAGCTTTGTGCAAGGTCTGTAGAAACGTGGCTCCCATGTTGCCCCGTGGCTGCAAGTGCCCACAAGCCATTCCCAACTGGCCGTTCTGCATCGTTCCACGGTAAAGGAATACTGCCGGGGAAGGGAGCCTACTGTGAACACATACTGAGGTGGATGCAGTATGTCGCAGAAGCAACACTTATCAAGAGGGACAGGAGGGCAAGAGGGGCAAACTCATGATTTGCAAGGTCTCAAGCGAGAGCAAGACCTAAAAGATGCAGGCAGGAGAGATTGGGGGTGAAGGGGAGGGGGTTGATTAACTTGGGCCAGGCCTCTGGCCCACTGCAGGAAAGGTTGGAGTAGGAGGAGCAGTACAAATTAAGGGAGAGGAGCTAAACTCATGACAAGTTTCCCCAAACTCAGATCCCTGCTGGCAAAAGATGGGGAGGGAAAGGGGACTGAAAGATGTTGTCAGCACAGCATTCACAAAAGCACAGGGCTCACCACAGTCTCTTCCACTGCTTGTGTCCAAGGCTGGCCCTAGTGAAGTCACCCGAGTAGGAAGAGGGAGGTGTTGGTGGCACTGAGATCAACACACCCATCTAGCCAGGCATCCCACTTACATGAGCTCTTGTGGTCCTTCTTCCTCTGTCTCCTCCTCATCATGGTGGCACGCGGGCTCATGGGGTGGGAGCTCCGAGGTAGCGTATTCGAATTCTGGCAGGGGAAACCTTGCGTGTTCATGGTGGGCGATGAGAAGTTGGCAGCAACAAGAGCTATGCAAACACGGAACAACAACTCAGCAGTAAGAGAAAACAAACCTAGCTCACCAGCATGATTAAATGCAAACTTTTAACTCGCCAGTTATACATCAAGCAAGCAACTACTTCAGCAGATTAAAACAGGACAGGTTTTCTGCCGCAAACTTCCATTGCCTAACCAGGCGTACACACATTGGTGTGTTTACTGTAGGGTTGCCCATGAATATGCTAGGCACGCTGGTGTGTTACTGTAGGGCTGGCTCCTCGTTAACCAAATATGCTGGCATCATTAGCATAGAGTTGCCTCCTTTGCAGCATGTCATCATTATATTGTAGAGCTGCCCAAGAGCATGCCTAGCTAGGTACACTGGTGTGTTATTATAGGGTTGCTCAGCACACTGGCTTTATTGTAGGGTTGTCTGCTCCCCTCCCCCACGTGCTGGACTGCACACACTCACTTAACAATACAAATCTTATTACGGATTTTTGGACACAGATTTGGAGACCAAGAAAGTGGTTGGTCACGTTTTGGATCGACAAGTGTTTTTTAAGCTTACTGTGGGAGGGGAGTGGTCAGTAAGCCTGACAGCAGAGCGACTAGCTCTTGCAGAGCGACACACACACACAAATGTTAAGTGGCTGGGTTACATTTGCAATAATCTTGGCTGGAGGTCTGGTTCCAGGTGGGTGTCTTGCAGTGCCCTGGATGGTGGGTGTGGCAGTAGTTGACACAGGGATCCCAGCAATGGTGATGGTCACTTTTCTGCACCTTGACTACAATCAGCACACACAAGAAACAAAACCACAGAGACAGGGGAAAGAAAATTAGGATAAGCAACAAGGAACGGAAGCCTTTGAGGAGTCAGCCAGTGGGAGAGCTGTGTAGATCACTGGGTCAATGCACTAGCCTTTCCCCACTGGGGACTACCAGAAAAAGCCAAAGATTGAAGGGTCTCGGTGACAGAACCATCCTCTTACCACGGCAGAGCTGAACCATATTAACAGGGCACCACAGGGGACTCCTGCCAATGCTGAACACTGTATGTGCATGCTGAAGGGAGGTCAGTTTTTAGAGCTTCATCTGGCACCTTTTACCAGCATTAAATTCACCAACCAACAGATAATGTCACACCTAGGCCAAGGCTAATGGTGATGGGAGGGACTCCTATCGTTTTGAGTTGTGGGCTCCAGAGCACTCACCAAGGCTGAAGAAAGAGGGAAGGGTTTTGTTTTGTTTTTCATTAGTCTTATTAAAACAAACAAACCGCACCCGCTGCACCCTCACTCAAACAGGAAAAGGGGCCTACATTACAGCAAGGCTACCTTAAAAAAAAAAAGCTTTAAAAACCAGGGTGCTAACGTGACACTTGGCAAACACGCAGGAAGTCACTCAATGGCTTTGCTTTTTATCCCTTTCCTCCAGCCCAGCACTTCAGGGGGTTCCCATGCCAGCACAGCGGTTTGCTTGTGCAGATCTGATTGTAGGATTAGGGCCTCAGAGCATAGTCTCCAGACAGGAGGGACCCTTGGCTTCACGATACCTATTTATTGTGCCATGCAAACTCTTCGAGGTGAACAGATAAATGAATACCAAGATGCATGTACATTTTCACTTCTGTCTGAAGTGATATTTGAACCTTTTCTTCCCAAGGGCTGGACCAAGAACTAGTCATGAGCACGGACGTGGTTTGATTTCCTAC